TATATATATATATGTAAAAATACTAATAACATACAAAATTACATTCAAAATGTCTCACAGCATGATTTGAAACAGAATACACAAAAAAAGTATCATTTTAGCCCTCCACAGAGGGACATGTTGCAGACAGCTGATGTGTTGCTGCTCTGTGTAAAGCTGATTTTGTATAGCAAAACACATACTTTTCTGCTCTATCTTATAAATTACTTAAGAAATGCCGAAGACCAATTCCATTCAGACATATCTAGGAATAGCTGCAGTTAACATGGGAAAGTGGTCACAGACCTTCTACTGCCTCTGGGCTTTATGGTCTTCTAAACGAACAATCAACATGAACTTTCATTTTCAACTTTCATTTTTACTCCTTTGTGCTAACGTGTTTCAAATACTAATCTTTAATTACTATGTTTTTAACTCATTTCACTGGAGAAAAAAAAAATCATTTGGAAAGCCCTCCATGTAATGGCTGCTAACAATAACTGATGAAAATTTTTATTTAACAGTTATGTTTTCTTTTAAAAACCCGTCACTTTCTAACATATCTTAAAAACAGCAGAAAAAAATACACCTGCGAAGAACAGAGAGAAGCCATTTGTCCCCAGACAAGGACATACATTTCTCACAGACCAGATAAATCTGAACTACTCATTTGAATAAAGATTATGGGATCAGGATCTACATTGACGTTTGTTTCTGTTAATTTTAGATGTGGGATTTATTTCTGCTCAGTGGAGGATGTGGTATATCTCTGTTTGTAACAGAACCTACCATAAAAAAATACATAGAACAATTCAAAAAACAAGAGGCAAAACCGCTCCTACCTTCATATTCAGCAAGGCACAGGCATTCATAGCTATTGATGAGGTCTCTGCAGGTGGCTCCATTCTGGCAGGGCGCAGAAAGGCATTCGTTATATTCCTCTTCACAGTAAAGGCCGTGGTAACCTAAATCACACAAAGAGGAAATAAAACAAGCTATGAAACACTCCCCAGTAAAAATTAACAATTAAGCGACTATAGATTGTGGACAGATGCTTGCTAATTGAAATATAGCGTGCAGACAGATACATGTTAAGACATCAATTTTAAGGACATCTGCTCCCCAGCTGAAATTACAAAAAAAATCCTGGAAGCACAATGTTCTGAGAGAAGCCCCAGCCACTGCCCCTGCGATAAACCACAGCGAGGTCACAAACAGAGAGGCTGGTGATCAAGCCCCCTACGAACAATGCGAATAACCACACTCTGGTTGTAAAAAGGAATAAACTAGTATCGACATATCTCCGAGCTTTCTTGGATCCTTGAATCAAAGCCAGCTTTCATCAAAGTGGTGATAAATGTATAACAGTAGTTAGAATGATAATGTATTTTAATTTTAATGCTGTACAGTGTCAAAACACTGCAGAAGCATTAAGATACTTAATTTTTACAGTATTCCCAAGCTGTAGGCAGGTATTATGGTCTGATTATGCAGACAAAGAAAGTAGGAGCACAGAAAAGCTATGAGACCTGCTAACGGCCACTGAGTCACTTGTATCATGAGGTAAGAAATAAGGAGTTAATCCACTTGAAATAGCACTTTTCTCATTATTTAGTGTGTCATACAATCATCAGTCTTAACAGTAGTTGAAACAACTTTCTAGACACAGTTTATCAGGTCAAAGTACTCATATTAAGTAACCTCCTCATATTAAGTAACACCATAAATTAGTATAGTGCAACAGCAGAAGTAAACTAGCTGTAATTCTAAAATATGTTTGCCTGATTATATTGGTTGCTTAGTGTTAAATGTGAAGATTCATAAGCCTGGTCATTTTGAAGACTATTACATTTGATACGAAGAAGCTTATTTAATTCCTCTTCAATGGACCCAGGTTATATTTTTGTTAATGAAAAGCGTCCTCTCTTCTTTCTTTTTACTTTTTTTTTCTTTCTTTCTTCTTTCTTTTTCTTTTTTCTTTTTTAAGGTAGGGGCTTTCGAACTCCAGAAACAATGTCTAAATTTATAGGCAATTAATACATCAACAAGAAAAAAAAGAAAATAGGTTGGTCACAATGTTTAGTAAGTACAAATAATGCATTTAAATGCACCATAAGCACTGCTTTCTCCCTGACGGACAAGCATTAGCACAGAAGAACTGTCAAACTGCTAGTGTGTTTGACCAATGTATGGGGCAATTTGCTCGAGTCTTTCTAAATAGTCTCCCCCTTCTTTGGGGGCACAGGGAATGTTTCATAATTAGCCAAATTACTGTCAGGGGAAGGTTCAGAATTTAATATATTAAACAAAATATGTTCTTACCCTTTTGAAAGTAGTACAACTATTTCTACTAAAACATGCATCTTTCATAATGTTTACCCCCTTCCTGGAAATTACAGCAAATAATTGAGTGACCAGAATTTTGCATTTTCTACATCTCTTCAGCTGTTAGCTACGTGCTGCTAATAACTGCAAGTCAGAGCATCTGACTCGGGGCATCACACAGCCTACCTCCCTCTCAAGCAAACCAAAGACAACACAGTTAACGTCAACTGAATTGACTGGATAATTAACACAAATTAGCGCTTCGGATGTTTTAGTAAATGGTTTGGCTTCATGAAGCCATAGCACCATCTCTTCTTTACCTGACCATGAAAAGGTGAGGATAGAAATTCTAGCCCATACTGTTGTCCACAGAGTAATCCCAGAGACACTTTGTACACAATGGTTACTGCACACTCTTTTTCCTTTTGGCTTGTTATTTTATAATATTTGACTGGTACTGAAAACAATGTAGACTGGGAAATTTTTTATTTGTTTTAAACAAAATCTTTCCTCTATTTGTCAACTTTATTCAATGTTCTTGAAATCTGATAAAGGTCTATATTACACTTTTTAAAAAGCAGTTTCAAAAATGCTTTCATATTAAAAACATTGTTTCACAAAGAACAGTCATACAGAGAAGATATGTCATGATACGTTAACAGTACGTAAGGACACTCTTCCTACACCCCTACCATGGATTAATTTTGGTTAAATCAGTTAAACATTTAACCTTCTTGACTCATCATAGCTGATACTCCCCTCGACCTCCTATTAGTGTCATATAATACCATGAATATGTACTTGTAATCTATAATATAATACCATGCATTGGAACAGTGTTTATATGCTTTTTACAATCTTGATTTACTCATTAGATACAGCTATAAAAGCAATAGATGAATGAGCATACAATGAATAAAAATGCCATGGGCATGAATAAACATGCCAGGGAAAAGGCCTAAAATACAAAGTGTAGATTCTGCAGTGTGGTTTTACTTCTTCAGATAATCTCTAGTTAGTAGCAAAAATTATAGACATGAAAAGCAGGTATCTTTCATGAACAAAAAAACAGAGAGGGGCAGATTCTCATCTTAGTAAGCGGCAACCTATACTCACTCTCCTGGTCTAAATTTTCCCCCAAATTCTCACAGAACAATAGAAAATACGACAAATGCCACCTCCAGACACCATTTCCATCTCCCCTCCCTCTTATGGATAATTAAAAATAAAACTGTATGAAGATACAACAGATGTTAGTACTACACAAGATGCATATGCAATATTACCCATTTGATTTTGTCTTTTCGTAGTAAATAGTTAGTTGGACTAGTAGGTTATTAAGAAACATTTCAGAACCACTTTCTCCAAAGCTGTTAGCCAGGCAATACAGAATTAATTATGCTAAACGTTATGGGTTTTTTATTAGCCTATGATGAAGTTTATCTACCTTATGATAAAGAGAAATATCCTTATGTCATGACATCTGTAGCCAACATACAAACCACCAAAATCAGAAAACTTAAAAGAAAAACATATGGGAATTCCCTGTGTCGAACACAGATGTAATTAGATATTGCGGGGGGCGGGAAATGTTTTCCACACGTTACACACTTCTCACCTTGCAAAGGGAGCAGAGGGAAATTCGTGACTGAATAGTTGTCTGGTTTCCAAAATCAGTATGAACTATCGTATCACCTCCTTAGGATTAAGACAGCCCACGCTGTCAGACACTGCACGCAGTGAGAGAAAGATATTTTCTCTCTCCACGAGAGGGCAGATCTCGCCCACACACGATTTCACCCTCATTGTCCTCACCTTGGTGCCAGCAGCTTCCTTCTTGCTGTAACTGATGTGAGTGGAGAAGTTCTGCTGTGGGACCAGGCACCCGAGGGAAAGGCGTGTTTCTTCTCATGGAGCCAAGAGGCACCATATCATTCTCAACAAGTGTTTCTCGTTGTATTATTGCTTTTAGATTCTACTGATATATAAACCATGTATTATACTGAATTCATACATATACCCTCAAAAAGGTATATTTTCATTAAAGAATTTAGGTGGAAACAGGAAAATTTTTCATAGATAACTTCAGAATAACAGACTCTAGGATAGTTGCTTCCTCTCTTTCTAGTAATGTTACGATTCTGCTGCTTTTATGTTCACAAGCAATGCCAAATACAGCTATTTGCATCTTTTGTGGTGTATAACATTTCTGTGGACATATTCAGAGAGAAGGAAACAATACCTACATTAACAACACTTCTCCACCTGCTGTGTCCTCAGCAGGGGAAAAAGCCGCATTGCAGCTTCAGAAAGGGCAACAAATATTATTAAACTTCTTTTTTCCAGGTCACTAGAAATTGGATATGCCTTCAATAACTGCACCCTCATGAACTCAAGCAGAACTTGCCAATGACGGACCCATTCTGATGTGCTCTCTTCAGAGGCTGGGGGATGGACAGGGCACCCAAAAAAACCTTAAAATAAAGATGTCCCTACGTTACCTCTTCTCCCTCTACGTGACTGTCCTTCTGCTACTAGTCTTTACAAAGGCAGGAACAGATCTGTTACCACTCTCCTCCGGATTCCCAAATCTTTCTTTCTCTTTCTTAAGCAACAGGGAGGCTGCCTGGAAGAGTCCAGGACATTTGCCTGATGCTCTCTGGCATAGTCTTCAGACAGCTACATGCTGAGGTGCACTCTCTTTGCACACAGCTATGTTAAAAACTGCAAAGGGACAAAACGTGAAAGGGAACGCACAATCTGTGTCGCGCAGGCTGATGAGGAGAAGCCACGGGTTTTGTCAAAGCCTTCGAGAGCAGTTGACAGAGCAAAAGATACGGCAGTGCTTGCCAACATCTTGAGAATATCTGCACTACCAGGTTAACAAAAGAGAGAGGGAGAAGCTTACTATTCCCTTTATAAATCAATAAAAAACAAAGTTGAAAGCTTCTGAGGCTTTCTTAGACACTAGCTCCTCAAGAGTGATTCCCTGGACTTATCCACACTTAACGCTTCAGCAAATCAAGGCAGCAGGAGAAAAATCCCAGCTTTATGGGAAGCCGTAATGGGATACGATGCAAGAGAGCTCCATTTTGCAGGGAACAGCATCAGTTCATATATGGCCGCTCACTAACACAGTTGCATGTGTTCAGTTAAAGTCTGAGCTTATATAGCAATTGAATAAGAGAAAGAGAGAAGAGCTGCTCCAGATGGCAGGGTGGTAGGAAGGCATGCTTACCAGCCACGGCCAGATTGCATGGAGGGTTGTCTTAATGTAGAAGTGGAAACAAGATGAGGAAACAGAGGCAATAAAGGGCTCACAGGCAGTCTGGAACTGGAATTAACCTAAAGTCACTGCTGCCAGACCTTGCATTTCCTGCCCCAGTTCCAAAATGTGGGAAGGGAAAAGACAGAGAAAAGAAAAATTGCTACTGCTACAGACAAATGTTGCACTTGCCTCTGCAAGGGCACTGAGATAAACCTACTCTCCTATAACCATCTATTAAGCTACATGAGCAAAAGATCAAGTGCAGAGGAAACATACTCCACGGTACTACTTCTGAAGTTCCCACCACTCTTCATACCCTATGGAATTTTTTCTGACACTCCTTCCCGCCCCCCCCCCAATCTTCTATATATGCTATCATATATATTTATAAAGTAGAGGGCAGGTGTTAATGTCTGTACTTGTGTTTTGCAGTTTCAAACTCCATACCCCTATATCTTTAAGAAAGCCAAATGCAAAACTTTGCTGTGGTATTAAGTTATTCAATTTCTAGATAGATTTCTTCTCTTTGGGTCAGACAAAAATAAAAAGAATATATTAAATATTTGCATTTGAAATTGATAGCAGCTCTGTTAAAATAATGGAGTGTAAAGAGGGGGAAAGTTTTAAGAAGAGGAAGAAACTGCTTTGGGATTCAGGGACTAAATAAACGTTCTATGAACAGACACAATGGGTTCCCACTGGTTTCATGAACCAGGCTCTAGATGAGAAATCCAACAAATGAGCACAAGAATTTTTATCAAGATCAGTTCTTTAACTCTGTCTTTTCCCTTCCCACATTTTGGAACTGGGGCAGGAAATGCAAGCTCTGGCAGAAGTGACTTTAGATTAATTCCAGTTCCAGACTGTCTGTGAGCCCTTTATTGCCTCTGTTTCCTCATCTTGTTTCCACTTCCACATTAAGACAACGCTCCACGCAATCTGGCCATGCCTGGTAAGCATGCAAACCCAACAAAAATTATTAATCTAATGTCCAAACACTGGATATTTCTTTGTTACCTGTAAAGGGACAGGTGATAAGTATTAATAATTTGGGTGTGTAAGCATATAATTAAAGATTTAAAGGTAAAGTTTCATGTGCAATTGAAAAATCACACACATAGAATCATAGAATCATAAAGGTTCGAAAAGACCTCTAAGATCATCAAGTCCAACCGTTAACCCAACACCACCATGCCCACTAAACCATGTCCCTAAGCACCACATCTACACGTCTCTTAAATACTTCCAGGGATGGTGACATAATACAAAGTAGGTATTGTTGCATAGGCTTTTGAATTCCACAGAGCCCTCTCCACAGACATTTGAAAGAGAAGTATATTCAGCTCAGAAATAACTTACACATTTTTTCCCTTCATTCTGGAAAAGGGAACATTCAAAAGTATTACACTGCTTTCCAAGTTAACTTATACAAATTAGCTTTTCTATACAAGCTATTAGATGATGTAAGTTATCAATAACAATGCTCACAATGAAAACCAACACACAAAAAAATTCTTAGTAAATGCCTAGTTGTGTGTGTTCCGCAAATTGTGCAGAAATGCAAGTATAATAAGTATCCTTTATCATTCTTCAAATCCAAAAAGCATGGAAAACAGACTGCCTATGAAGCAAGGAGACTTTCACAGACCTTGGGCTAATTGGAACTGTTTAAAATTTCTCTCGTTTAATTTTTGTGGCAGAAGTAACACAGATGAAAATCCAGCTGACACTATGCCTGCTAGTAGAAACAGGGCATAAAGGAAGGATGGCATTCAGGTCACACATATAAGCAAAACTCTGCAGCGCTCTGCTTCTGTAATAAGAAATTATATCTTCTGTCAAATACCTCAAAAAAAAGAACATGGCATCCTAGAACCGAAGACAAAAAAACAAGTGGCAGGTTCTAAAGTTTTTAAAACAGAATGTTTCAAATATACCATATAACCAATATAGACGAGAGTTCTAAAATGTCATTTAATAAACTTACCATTAACATATCTAAAAAAAAAAGTGTATGAATTCAGGGACATGTCTGAAAGTGAAAGACTCCCATACAAAGAAGTCAGTAGTCTAGGAGCTGGCACGCTGATGCTGAGAGCCTGCAAGCCAGAAAGCCTCAGGGTCAAGAGGCAGAGATCATTTCTTTCCTACTAATGTATGGTAATATCTTTATGTAGTTCAGTATGCTTATTATTAACCCGTGATAATGCTACTAAACTACACACAAATTACTTTACAAGTAATTGTAACGGAGACCGTCAAAGCCTCTGCAGGCAAAATTGTAAATAGAATCCAGCTTTTTAATATACCAGAGATGTAATCAAACTGTCAAACTGATTTTGATGAAGATACAAAAAACGTGTTAGGCTATGCTCTATAGTCACTACTTTAGGGGTTTTTTTAGGAATTGGAACATAGGAATCCTCAAGTTTAATTGCTCATCTGCCTTACACACACTAATTACTCAAACCACTGGCAAAGTGTGTATTATGATGCCTTCTAAATACTGATCTACAAAGAAGTTGACTCCCATTTACCCACTATGTCATTCACTCATGAGGAAAATCTCTGTAGGTAATTGGTTCAAATCCTGCTACTAGGATTAAAAAAAAAAAAAAGAAAAACCATAATGGTACATTCATAACAATGAAAAGGCATAACAGAAGAAAACAAATAATCTGACTATTCCTACCTTGCTACCACTTAGGTGCAGTTCTTTAATTATCTTTTGAAATAAGTTATCCAAGTTTTTAAATTATTGACAGATTAATGACAAGCACTCAAAATTTGGCCTGTAGTTCCACCTTGATATGAAGCAAGTAATATTATTTCTAGAGCGAATTCCTTCTAAAACAAGTTGTCATTTTTAAAAGTGAAGTTTACAGCAGTCTACAAAATTTTTTGAAAAAAGAAATTGTTTTTTTAAATATTTCCCATTAAATTTCACACATGGAGCAACACAAAAGAGTTCAATTAAAGAAGTACCATATATGGTCTTGGGTGCAGCCTCTATGGCTTCTCATCTGGCTAACTTTTAAATGCACAAAAATTATTTAAATAAAAATAAGTTACCGTAACATGAGATGTGTGAGACTACTTTTAAGTCCCGTGTGACACAGAATTAATTTGAACAAACCTAACCAACAACTTCTAATCAGGTTTAGGTGATAAATTCAGAAAAAAAGCTTTTATTTGTCAAAGAATATTTAACTCACTTTCTGTTGTTTGAACCACAGGCAAAGAACATTCTGAAGAAGATTAAAACTTCCCTGGTTTACGTGGAAAAAGAAATGCCTAGTTTTTCCTACCATGGACGACTCGGGGAAAGGGCACTCATGCTGGACAGCTCCCGATACTCCAGTTTGGAAATCAGATCCCTTTTTATACCAGAAATTTAGAAGACAATTTTTTACACTAATTGGGAAATTCAGATTTCTGTTGACTTGACATATTTTCCCAACGCTTATACAAGGGTAGAGTAACTGTCTTTGTGTTTCGATTTCTACAACTCAAAGCATCTGAATCCTGATAATTCTTTTCAGAACTTCCCAGAGCATACACAGCATGGGTATTCTTCAAAAAAAGCTCTTCATCAATCTCTGTTTTTTTCAGTCAACTGTGGTTTCAGTCATATATTAAAAACCTCTTGAAGATCAAAACATATTGATACATTTTGATCCCTTTCCTTGTTGCCCAGTGTTAGGCAGCTCCTCATCTCAATAGCTTCTCATCCTCTGTACAGATTTTTCTTGACCATGCCCTAACTGCTTGTACCATTCAACAGCTAAAAAAATAGCAGGTTTCTGTTACGAATCCAAACAAGTTAACAAAATACTCGCTAGTCAATCAAGGAATAGGTTGATGCTACGAAGTAACTCTCATGTTCCTACCTGCTGAGCGCTTTTTTCCCTGTCTTTCCAGATTTTTTTAACTTCAAACCTTTATTTCCTGTTCACTGCCTCTGCTATTTAGTCCTTCTGGGGGCTGGGTGAGGAGAAGAATATCCAAAATGAAGGGGTAAACATTAAACTATTAAATTCTCAGTTCTAAAAATGAATTTAAGAAAACAACACCTGGCAATTTTAACTACTTGCAATCAAAAAGATATTTTGTCAGACATGGAACTAATTATCAACTGATAGGAATTCTAGTTTGTGCTCTTGATAAGACAGGATATGCTAGCTCTATTGAAATATGATTAGGCCTGTTGCTCTTCATCTCAATACCCAATCCTTTTCTCTAAGGATTCCTCTATTATGCAAATGAACAGCAAAGCAATTAAATGCTTCAAAAAGGAAGACTGAAAATTAGTAATGAAAGAATTATCATCTTTACCTTCAAGTTTATAGCTTTATAGGAACAGACTTTAAAAAAACAGTGTCAAAATTATTCAAATGAAAACAAAGATTATTGGTTTTCACTCTAAGTGCTTAAGCAGTAGTGGGTGTACAGCACATATCATTCATTCTAACTGCTAGTTCACCTATTAATTGTCATTGCTAAAACATATAAAGGGAGCTATAAGCACCCCAATATTCTGTTACATTGGTACAATGAAGCAAAAAATCTAGAGCTAAGCAAAATGCAACCCAGACACCATGCACGGTTAGGCTATATTATCAAAGAGTTACCAGCTGAGTCTACTAGCGATACTCACCTAAGCAGTATCACTGGAACTTCTGAAAAGAGATAATTTATGTAAACATGGATGGCAGAACTACACCCTTTGGAGTAAGCAATTTTTTTTTTCTTCCCTACCTTTGTTCAGCTACCTTGTTTGTTTCCACTCCTTCCCAAATGATCAGTGTCACATTTTCCATTCTCTCTAGCAAATTTTGTAATTTCAGTGACACTGATACCTCACCTTAAAAAGATTTATCCTCCAGACTACCGTTTTATAATACAGCTGTAGATAGCAACCAAGCCATATGGATCTCAGTGGGTATTTTCAGTGCTCAGTCTGCAATTTTGATTTTCCAAATGTAATGTATAGATTCCTATCATTATTCTAAACAGATAGAACATCTGCTCAATGTGCTTTATATACTGAAAAGAAAAAAGGAAGTAATTTTAAACTATATATTGGAATCTACATATAAAAATATTAGAAGATTTACAAAACATGTAACTGGTACAAACCAGGGATACAGAGGCATTTGTAGCTGGTTCCAACACTGCGACAAATGCCATGTGCACAAGGATTCAGAGCGCAGAAGTCAATCAGCTGAGCACATGTAGGTCCTGTAAATCCAGGACTACAACTGCAGGAGAAGGCAAGTCTATCTGCATAACAGGTTCCATTGTTCTGGCAGGGAGATGATGCACACGGGTCTATTTTGTCTTCACAAGAGGTTCCTAAAAACCCTAAAAGAAATAAATGGTTTTGATAAGTAAGCATTCTGGTATAAATACAATTTTAATAACTAAAGCAAATTAAAAGTAAGCCATTGACATATTTATACTCCTATTTTTTTATCCTATGAAAATTACAAAAATACAGACTTCCTATATATATTAAACTCTAATTTTACCTATTAACATGGTATTATATAAGACGTTGCAGGTAGAATCATACTGTCATATGATTAAGGCAGTAAAGTGCAAAAATATTTGTTGAATTTGACAGTGCTTATCCACTTTACGAAGTGTATCTGGCTAGAAAAGCAGAAGACATTTTCTAAAGATCAGGAACAGACTAGCCTGGAAAAGAAGAAAAACCAAAACTGATCTTTTTTTCATTTCTGTTAATGCGTTTGTTAAGAATAACAACCTCTAAAGCAGCACATGAGTTTGCTTGAGCATCAATAAAAGATTACCTTTTACAAGAACATACTTCTTATTAGCAGGAGACACAATGATTTATTGAAGCAACACCATATAAAAATTAGACATAAAGAAAAGGATATCCTTGCAAAGGAGTTGTTTAAATCAGATGTAGAAAATAATAACATTTGAACAGATTGCAGTATACTAACTATAATTTTTATCACATACACATACATCACATACATTGCAATGTGAAGCGTGGTTATTGTACCCAAAAGCAAGTCAGAAAAGAACATTCAAATTCTAGCACCCCTCCAAATAAAAGAGCAAACTGTGCTTTCCATTCAACTCTCATATTTTTTGATGAGTATTTGGTCTATTCGTACAGACCACCACTTTTCAGGCTTAAAATTCCCTGGAATATCTTACATTGCAGAACAGCTCTTGAAATTAGAATACACTAATCTCACTGGGAATGAGAAATTAGGAGCAAATCAGGCCAACCTCCACTCAAGACCTCTCAAGCCAGCTTCGCCAATCTACTCTAGCCGGAACTGTAAACCCTTGCAGTTGTGCCAGTCTAAAAGACAAAGAACAGACCACATCGCCCCTGCTACCCAGGAGATTTTATCAACATTTCAGACACCAAAGAAAATAAGTAAATGCATAAAAAACTGTTCTAGGATTTGAAAAATATTTAATCAGAAAGAAAGAAAAAAAAATTTACAAAAAAAAAGCAAACTACAAAATGTGTCCAATGGTGAGAGAAAGGATCAAGATGGAGGAGATGTCTCTGTTATATAGCAGCCTGCCAACGACTCAGAGCATGAAAACAAATAATGACAGCTGACACTCTGGATTAACGCTCAATATTGAAAACTTATCCCTGATGGAATGAAGCAGATTTTTGGCCTTACTTCTATAGTTTTTGTATCTAGTCTCGCTGCTGGATTAAAACCAGTTGATGTATTAGAACTGAATGCCTATATTGTATAAAGCTTATGATGAATACCAAAATTGAGACCAAATACCACATCCAATACATGCTTTACAGCATCTCATTATGTTTTACTGACTCATTAGATATTTTTGTTATAAACAATGTCATTCCACATTTCAAGCAAGGTAAAATTCTTCAGGAAATAGTTTTCAGTTAATTTTTACAGATGTGTTACTTTCAGGGCATTTTGATTTTCTTTCTTTTCTAATTACTCATGATTCACATTCAGGTGAGTTAAAACTGTAACTTTATTTAACTGTCAAGGAGTTGGCATTTCTGAAAGCAAGCACATAAGAAATAGATTAATTTACATTTTAAAGCATAACAAAAAGCCCCAAACATTTACTAAAAGGTTCAAATTCTACAATTTGTTCACGATTGATTAGATTTGTTGAAAAACTGGGCAAATAATTTCAAATATCCTGAGGGCTTCCTCAAGGAGACAAATTCCATGTTTTATAGATCCACAAAAGCTCAGTGAACTGCATCAGAAAAAGGGGGAAAGGGATATTAAATAAAGGTGAGTAACCCACACAGGGATCTAACTCAGAGAATTAACAGAACTTAGATTATGCTAACTAAGAAAAAGATGGGAAGGCCACAACTGCCCTGTGAGTTCCAGACAAAACTAGGATATTCTTGGGTACTGTTGGCAGCATCCTCATAATATTAGGACCTGGACAAATGGCTTAAAAAGCCACATTTCCCTCATATGTTCATAAATCTTACACCAGACCTACGGAATGAAAAACAAAGAAAAAATAATCCAATTTTTAAAAAAAAGTCGTTAAAAAAAGAAACAACCTACAGACTGAACTTTTAACAGTTGAGTCATAAGTAACTCAGCAACAGGCCAGGAAAGAAAAGCAAGTCTGTCAGGGCACAGGCAAAGAACAGAGGCAAGAGCCTTCTGCCCTCTCCATTTTGCTATCCTATGGCTCAGATTGCTTCGTGAGCTTTATCAGGACCACCTGCATGCCAATGTTGAAGAGGGAGAGCTTAAAAACAGATATTGTGGAATCCTATATTATATTGTGGAATCCTATATTAGAGGTCCCTCCTGTAGACGATTAACTGCATAACCATCAGAAACTGAAAAGAACAGAAACCCTAAAATCAAGAATCTAATTCCAGCAACGTTTTGCTGACAAATTAAAAAAACCTGTACTGTTATCATAAAATCCCAGACAGATTTAAAAGAATCTGCAAGGATTTTTAACCATTACTGGGACGATATCAGCCAATGAGTTCGGTGAAATCTCTACACTAGCACTGAAGCCAGATTAAAAAGGATCAAGGAGATCTGAGGTCACACAATGACACTAATGCTGCTTCACTACAACCTTTGCAATAATCTTCCCTACAAAGAGAAGCTTACCGGCAGATGGCTAGTGTTTCAAGTGACAAAGCACTTCAAGAACATATGCAGGTTTAAAATACAGTAAAACATGTTGCCCTTGTGCTATCTTTGACTGCACTGCGAAATGTGTTTAGTTGATTCTGGAAGTTTAAATCTTATGTATGAGTTAAATATCTGAAAATACTCAAAGCAGCAGTAGTTATATATCTAAATCGAAGATCTATTATTTTGGCATTTCTAAATGTACATTTAAGTCCATATCAATAAAATTGTTGAAAACAAATAATGCAAATAATAAATTTAAAAATCAAATTCAGAGGTGTGTTGATTGAAAGCAGAATAAAATAAAAAAAATCAGGATTATTTATCTGCAAATAAATATCCCCTGAATTGTTTTTCAGCCAGCCAACATAACCCCAACCCTGGATCTAGGTCATTATTGGTGCAACAGGAACATGACTGAAAGGTAAAGACTACTCGTGATTTGAAAGATCTGAATGCAAAATTTACCAAAGGAATAACATGGAAGATAAAGGGGAAAGGCAATATTAGAAAAGATTTATACTGTTAAAAACCACAATACAATATTTGTGCTTACATGGATCAGACTATTTGGCTAGTTGACAAGAAGAATAAAAGTAGTAAGTCAGGTGATATTCCTCATATATTGCTATAGTCCTCCAGGGTAATGATAAAAACTAGATCAGAAAATGTTTTCAGAGATAGAAAAGCTCTGGATAAAAGCCAGATTTTTCATCATGGTGGGATTTTAATTACTTGGCTAATGAAAGCAAAAGAGCCATGTACAAAGCAAGGAAGTTAAACGTTATCTGAAGATACTGTACAACTGCTTTTTATACAGTCTGTGGAACAACAAACTTGCCTGAATGTTATTTTAGACCTAATTCCAAGAATTACACAAATGTGAAAAATTAAGTCTGTGAATTGCTAAGACTAGGGGTTACAAAATCTTTAGATTTGAAATACAGGGATAAATATTAAAAGAAATAAAGGCAATTTATTATTTTCCCTATAGAAAATTGTTTTATGAGGAAATACAAGATGTTTGATGGAATTTCACCAGAATTCTGTAAAGGGAAAAAAGATACTCATCAAAAGGAAACAAGAAATCATTAAAATTTAGTTGTAAGATTTTTATTGAGATTCACCCTAGCTAAGTCATAACGGATAAAGATGAACAAAGGCGTTAAGGAGAAGTCTATTAAAAACAGTAGCAATTTGGGAAGATGCCAGGTAAAAACATTAGATTAGCAGAAAGTAACAGAAACTAAACAGCCATAAAAATTTTTAATTAACAACAAAATGTTCTTCAGGTAAATTAAATTCTCTTATGGTAATATGAAGAATTCTGCATTCTCTAATCACCAGTAGCCTTGGGAAATATTCCATATGCAACAGCTGTGTGACCTAGTTTCCTGGAATCAAGATAATAAATAGGTTTATTGTATGTAAACCTAAAGAAGTTAAAATCAGATCTGCAAGATATAATACAGAAAAAGGCTTTTACATGAACAATGAAGCCCAGAAAAAGTGAAGACTTTGAAACTTAAACTACTCTTAATCTAGGCAAATAACTTCTGTTCTCCCAGTCAATTAAAATTCATGGTGACAATGTACGTTTTCTAGCTGCTATTGCAAATCAACACATATGAATCACAACTTAACATCTTCTATAGCTGTCAAACTCTTTATTTTTTAAGCCACAGAAACCACAATAAGAGCATTCACAAATTTGCTGCTTTCCAGTACTTCCAGAAATACCTGCAGGTATTTCAGGGCACTGTTGCTCACGTGTTGCGTAGCTGTAGTTACCTGCAGCTAGTTAAATCGTCAATAGTAAAATAAAATCAGTCCTGAAATGTGAATTTCAAGTAATCTATATATTAAACTCCCAATCATAACATTGTTTTCTCTCTATCTCCTTCTATAGGATGGCTATGAAATCCATTATTGCTGAGGAGTATTTTTCAGAAATATATTAATCTGAATGAAAAGATTTCTGCCATTTCTGTCAGAGCAGGTGACCTCCGCATAGAGAAAGTAGCAAAATCCCAAGAATCCAAGCCAGTTTCATGGGATTGGCCTGCCGAATGCTTGCCATTTTTATCAAAGATTAATGTTTTCCTGTAACACTGAATGCAGTTCATCTGTACACATCATCAGGACATTAAAATTGCATGTAACAACTTCAGAAACATCTTCCAACAGAAGTTTATTTCTTTGTTATAATAACTGATCTGCACTTTGCTCATTTTTATCTGGTTTTGTTCAAAACCATATTCCACTACTAATTTATTTTAATATTATCTCATGAGCAAAATTAACAAAGGCTCTCCAAATGTTTAAAATATGTAAAATATATATATATACATAAAAAGTACCAAGTCTTTCATTTTATCAGCTTTACAAAATTTGCATGTGTAAGGAACAAATTAGTGAGACTTGTATTTCCTCACTACATGATCAGACAATTTCCATACCCTTTTTTTTTAAGCTTTTGACAAAGATTTCAATGAATTTAATAACTATATAAATAAGTTTCTCCATCACTGAAGCATTTATTGTAATTACATTTGCTTATTCCAATCAGCTTTTTTTATGTTTCTAATTATTATTTTATATTGAATTCCACTTCACGGTGCTTCGGGAATTTACATAACTTCTCAGTGACCTAAGGAAAATGAAGTAACCAAATCTATAAGTTGATGAGCAGTATACCCCAATCAACTCAAATAGAATTAATTAATATTACTGTCAATACAATAGTATGTTATACATTACAATAAGTGGAGAAAATCAGAGGAGATATTTAAGAGTGATACGGGTATTTATGGAATCATTCTGAATATAAATTTCAAATATCCATGTTCAGGTTGACAGATGTTTACTATGTTTAGGTTTTTAGAATGTCTAGAAAATTCTTTGCATGATCATATGAAGGTAATATTTGCTAAATGTATGAAGATGATCAAAGATCTCTATCCCATTGTAAGTAAGTACAACATCCCAAACATCCTTTTCACAATAATAAAGAGTCAAAATTTTGAACAAATTCTTCAGCCCTTAGTATTGCTTAAGCTTCTTCACTATAAATTTGAGTATAAAATCCAATTTTCTCTTTAGTACAGGTGACTCAATAACTTCAGATAGCCGTTTATTTTCTGACATATTTTGGACATTAAAATCTACAATGCATCACACAGAAAATGGAATCTGCAAGCATAAAGAAGTTTTCTTTACTAAAGGACTCTTAAGATAGTAAAATTGTCTAAAGAATAATCATGAAATGTTCATATCTGATCTAGGCTGCTTTTTCAGTGCCTCAGATCTCACCTTCTGTAAGTTATCACATGCTTCTTTCATGACCACAGATCTCATTTGTAGAAGATATGCACAATCTCGAGATCATTCCTGACTGTTTCCATCTCATTCCTTTTTCTGCCATCTTTTTCTTTTCCCTTTGTGATACTTTCCATCTTCTCTTATCCTTTTCTTCCTAACCACATTGTATCTCCAGTCTTTTAGTTTTTACACATATATAACTCCTTGGCTACTACCTTTCCCCCACTGTGCTGAATTAGCACTACAGAAAGAAAGGCCTCTTCTCAACAAGCAATTACTATTAGGCGCAGCAGGAGAATAGCAGCAGAGCAAGAGACCTCACTTAAATTAGAAACCTATCATGGGGTTTTGGTAGGGATTTTTTTAGTGGAAAATTTGAGGACATGCTAAAAATAGCAAATCTGCAAGTTATTGCATCGGCAATTTTCAGTTAACTATCCTTTGTTGTGTTTACAAAAATAACCAAATCTCTTCAAAACCCAAACAAATGCTCTCAAAATATGCCTCTATGAGAAGATAATACCTCAAAAGAAGAAAGAAGAATCATGGGAAAGACAGTCATTAGTAAATTTAGACAACAGATTTTGTTAAATCAACCCTTTCTTTCCCTCCACAAAATGTCTGAATTCCTGAGCTCATTGGCATTAGATCTTCCAGAACAAGATGGAAAAGCAACACCTTACTACCTACTACGCCCATTAGGCTACTCCGGAGCAACAGTACTGGCCCTTGCAGACAGACTGTGTCACTTCTGCACCAACGCTCTCCTCTCTTTATGGTGAGTACATGAGTAGGAAGCACAGCTACGTAACTTCATGGGAAGCATGAAGCTCTTTGAAAGAACAGTAATTACTAGGGAGTCAAGGAGAATCTTCGGGGCTGCTGTTGAGTTATCACAGACTCACTCAAGAAGAGCAACCATGCACACAAGATGGCATTTGTTCCTGCAAATCTAAGAATGATTTTCTTATGTCCAAGGGACTGAGAATCAGACATGGTGCGTACAAGACTATTCTTTCTAAGGGAAAGAACCCTGGGCAGTCCAGAAACTGATTCCTGAAACTTTCTATCGCCTCCAGAGGCTTTTTCTACATTGGAAATAATACAGGTCAATGTACGAAAACTGTTTTTAACAAGAGTTGTAAATGTATTTCAGTAAAATTTTTTTCTTGTGTTGCCCCAGGGCTTTTTGAGAACATTTATACCATGTGAGCATGTTAGACATATAAATAAGCAATCAGAGTAACAGGTCTTCCCCCAATTCTGTCCTCGCTCTTGGAAACATGGAAATGATATGGGGAGACTAGAACTGGTAACTCTGCACAGAAAGTTTCAGACAGGTGACCCAAAGAGCATGTTTGCCTATCAACAAAGTCTTTGGGCAGAGAGGTACTTCTTGAAGTTGCTAAGTAATTGTAATTTTTTTCTTTCCTCTGGAAGGGTCAAAAAGCACATTGTATCTTTAAGGAAAGTCCAGAAACCATAGAAAAACTCAAGACTCCAAGCAGAAAAGGAGCACAGGTTTGTAACACTTAGTAAGAAAGGAAGTGCCAACAAACAAAAATACCAGAATACTGAGAAAATGGTACCAATGTGCCCAGAAGGAAAAAGAGCAAAGCATACAACCTAAATACTAAGATAGTACAATGACAGTGCCAAAATAAGCCTACTTAAAGCAGAGCGTACCACAGAAACAACTGGAAACTTATCAAAGACAAACATGGATCAGTGGCAAAGAAAGGAGCAGAAGAAAAATGTTCAGGAAAAAAAGCAGGCAACAAGACTGTAGGACCAAGTGGCGTAACACAGAGACAGCCAAACACGAGTAAAACTGAGAAAAGAGAAGCGCAAGTAACTTGGTTCTCCTGGCGCAGAAAAGCTGTTGTCAGTAAGAATGCTACGCATCAAGCGGTGGCAGATAACCTCTCCATCACCCTCTTTGGAGGGAAGGGCTCCGGAGGGAGATGAAGGGAAGGTTTTCCTCCCGCAGGGCACCGGGGAATGGCGCGGGGCCCTCGGCGCAGCCAGCTGGTGCACTGGCAAGAGCAGCGTTGCTGCCTGCGGCTGTGCCAGGGCCTGCGGGCCGGGCGGAGCTGGCAGGCTGCCCCGCTCCTGTTCACGGGCTAATTGCTGCTGGCACGAGCTCCCTGAGCAGGAGAGCAGCCACAACCTCGCACAGCAACCGAGGCATAAGTGCGTTTTAGCAGGGCACTGAAGAGCTATGCTACAAGCACCATATCCCAGCCGCAGCACCACAGCACACCACGGCAGAGGACAGGTGATGTGGCCGTCTAGGGACCTCAACCCACCAGTAACCCTGCCCATGGCCAGCTTCTCAAATGGCGGTAGGAAAAAAGTTGAGAGATGGTCAGCATACTCATTAATAGGTCATCGGGAGCAAGCAATTAAGAAACAAACAGAGAAACAAATATGGCAGTTCCAAAACAACCAAAAATCCCAGTAGCTATTTTTCCAAGCATTTATTATTGGAAAGATCATTTCCTGCAAAGCATCCTTAAAGATCCTCGAACAGATTTCCTAAGAAAAATGCAAGTAAATTATTCACCAAGTCTAACATCTAATAATTTTCTCACTGAATTTTGCTACTAGTTATAAGGCAAACAATTTTCAAAATTCTTCCAAATGCAAGATCTGCACTGCTGTCAAAATGTCAGTGTCTGTGTTTCAACACAGCTGTTAAGTGGGTCACTCATTAAAGCATAACACTCTAGAAAAGCAAGGAATCAGTCTAAAGAAATTACAAGTAATCCTCATTATTAAGCAAGTATGTATTATCGGAGCAGTTATCAAAGACTTGTACTCTTAGAGCAAGCATAAGGTGCTGGCAGAATAAAAACAACATCCACAGATCAAGTAAGAACAGAAATACAATTAGTTCAAGGTTCTAATCTTAATTATAAAATAACTGATAGAAGGCTTCATAATTGAGAGCTTTCACTCTGATAGTTTTTTTATGAGCATTTTAGGCATCTGCCATTCCATCAGCAAATCGTTACGAAAGCAGACACTTCAGCATTGTGGTGTCCTCATCTCACATAGTTACATTTACAGTGTTTACCAATGCGAATCACTGAAAGGCTTTCATGTAGAGAAAGGAGTAAGTCCAAATAGAAAGGAGCATGAATTAAAACTTTGGGGGATTGAAATCATTCCTTTAGTTTTGAATTATTGCTCTGACTCATATGTAGAAATATGCAAATACTACAAGGGAGGCATCTTTTTCTCACACATTTACTGGACAACACAATAATCAGACCACACCATAAGTCTCTCAGATGCACCTTTCTCACAGTACTGGAGCCTGATTTCTACTGTAGAGGTGCCAGAGAATGAGAGAACATTTCTGCACCACATATACACTGAAACACTAAGCTCCTACCATACTTCATATACTATTGCCGATTACACAGAGATTTTTCATCTGGATTTTTTTTCTGCTTACAATTATGGCCTAAGGCACAATTTTAAAAATATTTAAGTATATATATAACTAGAACTGAAAATTTAGAGTAAGTACACCCCGCAAAACATCAATTTGTATGAGGTACTAGATAGGTCTTTGCTGTTTACCTTCTGGGCACTGACAACTGAATCCACTGATGTTGGATGAGCAGGTACCTCCATTTTGGCATGGCTGCTGGATGCAATGATCAATCTCTGACTGGCATAGCTCTCCAGTGTAACCTAAAAAACAGCACACAACATTCAGAAAATATAGTGAAAATGAGTTTTTATCACGAAATGTATTACTAGGTCATTCAAACAGTAACATTAGTTTTCTTGAATAAAATTAACCAAAGAAAGAAATAGAATCCAGGACAGTCTTCTAATTTCTTATAAAATGAGATATTTAATTAGAACTTATACTTCACTGGAAAAACATAAGTAGTGGAAATCTAGATATTATATCAATTGTATTTTACCAGCAGCAATATTCTGATAGCACTACTATAATCGAGGTTGGTGCCGGGTCCTCATCAGCACCCATATAACCAAAAAAGAAGTCATTTTTGAATGGTTTTCAAACGCATCTTGAATCTCAAGTCAATAATCTTTAGCAAGACTTTAAACAAGACTTGACATTATGAATTAGTTGTGCATATGCTGAATGACTGTCATTTGCTCCTACTTCTGGGCTTCAAAAAGAGTGTTTATTTTAAGTGGGAGCTGTGAAGAACTGCTCAGCACAGTTGCAAACTCTTCCAAATAAGCTCCTATAAGTTCACAAGCTACAGATTGTGTGTACTGTACTATTTGACCATAAGTGTGCTTTGTTCCATATGTCTGATGTCTACAACACATCCCCCAAAAATGAACAAACTTACAAAATACAATTTAAATGATTAAACACTCCAAACTTAAATTCCTTAACAAATACCACACATTTCCCTTTCTAATTTTTATTTACCTCCAAGAAACTATCTTGGATGCATGACTGAAGAAGAAACTACACACTACACACAGAGGCATTTTATTTTTTAAAAGGAACCCTACATAAAATTGCAAATATCTTCCATAACAAGCATGTTTAACACAATGGCTAGTGTTAAAGACCAGTAAGCTATGAGTAGGTGACATTGTTAATACACTGCTATGAACAGGTATAAGACAAAGACCCAAGGTGACATAGAGGACATGCCTGCACTAGGATTTTGCTTATGCAAGGGAGAAAAAGAAAAAAAAGAAGAAAAAAATATTCTGATTTTGATTAAATAATTCTTTTTAATGCAATCAAAATTAACATTTATAAGTCTTTTGGGCAGGCTACTATACTTATACCTGTTCAAATCTATTGATGTCACCATAAAATAGTTCTCAACATAGATTGTGATATTTGGAGTTGCTAGAGCACTACTATAAAATATGATGTATACCTTACTGCTTTTATATGCTATAGAGAGCTAAACTATGATCCCATTTTCTGCAATGCAAAACCTGGAAAAAGAAACTTTGTTGTATGTTGTATCTGGACTAATGCCCATAAATCACCTAAACTGGAGAAAAATAATGAGGTCGAAAACCAGAACTGTGCTCTCGCGGGGTAGCTCCTCTGGACCGGATTGAGGCACTTGGAGGGACGTCAGCCTCACTCTGCATAACATGATTTTCTGTAATTCTAATTGGTCTCAAATTAACATAAAATTTACAAAAACAGCAATGAAGTATTACAGAAGACTACATCAACTTTTTTTTTTCATCTATAGGCTTCATATTTTTTCAAGTTCTCACATTCAGCTGATTATTTTTATGAATCATAATACAGTATTGAATATGCTTAACTCATTTAAACATTTTTCCATCTTCAAACTGTTACCAAGTTTGTGAAAGCTAAAAATTACACTGGAATTCAATGTGTATCCAAAAGAATGTTGGCACAGAAAGGCAGAAATCATTGTGTTGCTCTGAAGCTTGCTGCAGGAATCTGACTTCCTGCAATTGTCATTATAGCTTGTGGGAAAACTCATCAGAGATAATATTTTATGTCAGCTTTACAAAAATAACTATGTCCCATCTCATTATTATCTATAGGGCATGTTTTGTCCATCTGAAAGAGAATATGATTCGGGAATTTCATAGCAAATATGTTACAACTGCTACAAATTAAGAGGTGCTAAGCAATCACCATGGCAGGGGGGGTGGGAGGGGGTGGGGCGGAAAGCAGTTTGCTGGTGAGATACACTTTAAGAATCATTACAACTATTCATTTTGTGCTGATACTTATCTCCATAACATTTCCTTCTATCAAGATTTGGGAAACATGATCCTGTTCACATACAAATGTTTCTGAAACTTGCATGTGGAGACATTTATGATAATTAAATTCTTATTTACTGTTTTCTTTCATATTTTTCCATATGCAATATTTTTTAGAAAGTCATAATTACATGAAAACAGCTAGTTTCCTGACTATTTTTTGATGTGTGGGCACAAATTGGGGGGAAAAAAAAAATATGGGTAGAAACATAAACCACTTAAGTTAACAATGGTTAAGCCACCTGAATAACATTAGACATTTGCTATTAAAAAAATTAAGGAAAATTATTTTTAAAAACTTAAAAGTTAAACCTAAACATAAGTGTTGAGGCCATGAAGCACACCTTGCAAGTTCCAGAATGTAATAAATGAAGTTAACTTTTTTGGCTTACTGAGGATTTACAGACGGACTTGATCACACTATCATTCAGAAGGGAAGCCTTCACATATGGAAACCAAATAACTTCATTCCATCTATTGTAATCTTTGTTTTATACCATGAGAAGTAGGAGGGGGTTTATAGAAGGAAATATTTAGAATTTTTGACTTTTTTTTTTCCCCCCAATAGGAGCTAACAATTGTTCTAGTGACAAGGAGAAGAAACAATTATGAAAATAACAATGCATAAATTACATTTTAGAGAAATAGTAAAATCTAAAGTTAAAAGACAATAAAGACATCAATGGAAATATATTATATTTCCAAAATATGTAAGAGAAATACATTTTCTTCAAGAAATTGTCATTATCTTAGTCATTGTTTCCTGGCATCTCATGGTATCAATTTTTCTACAATCATGTTAACACTTTCTGAAGCAAGAAATTGAAATGCCTATCCCTAATAGTGACTACTGTTTTAATTCATAGGGAGCTTTTAAAGAAAATGGAGAGACCAAATTTAAAAAAAAAAAAAAGCAAGCACTTGATGCAGATATCTGCGATCATAGTAACCAAAAAACCCCATAGGATTTTATATTATTACACAAATAAAATAACATTTGCTTTGTCAAGGCACTATAATTTGTAACTTCACAGTAGACACAGGAAATATCGCAGACTTTATCTGAGTGTAACAATGGCAGCAATGCTCATCTTTGGAGCCTTATACATAAGTGGGAAGTATATTTATGTTACTCTGTAAAACTTAGCTGTACAACTTCAAAATATTAAGTTTTCCTAGTGGAAAGACTCTTAGGCTTTACACTCACTACCCTGGCCTTCAGGAGAGCAGACTTTGGCCTCTTCAGGGATCTGTTTAGTGGAGTACCATGAGATAAAGTCTCAGAGGGAAGAGGGCCCCGAGAAAGCTGGCTAGTATTCAAGGATCACCTCCTCTGAGCTCAGGAGCGATGCATCCCAACAAAGAGGAAGTCAGGCAAAAATGCCAGGAGGCCTGCATGGATGAACAAGGAGCTCCTGGACAAACTCAAACACAAAAAGGAAGCCTACAGAGGGTGGAAGCAAGGACAGGCAGCCTGGGAGGAATACAGAGAAATTGTCCGAGTGGCCAGGGATCAGGTTAGGAAAGCTAAAGCCCTGATAGAATTAAATCTGGCCAAGGACATCAAGGGCAACAAGAAAAGCTTCTATAGGTACGTTGGTGATAAAAGGAAGACTAGGGAAAAGGTGGGCCCTCTCCGGAATGAATTGGGAGACCTGGTTACCCGGGAAAGGGAGGAGGCTGAGTTACTCAATGACTTTGCCTCAGTCTTCACCGGCAAGTGCTCAAGCCTCACCACCCAAGCTGCAGAAGGCAAAGGCAGGGACTGGGAGAATGAAGAGCCGCCCACTGCAGGAGATCATCAGGTTTGAGACCATCTAAGGAACCTGAAGGTGCACAAGTCCATGGGACCTGATGAGATCCATCTACGGGTCCTGAGGTAACTGGCGGAAAAAGTTGCTAAACCACTATTCATCATATTTGAGAAGTCATGGCAATCTGGTGAAGTTCCCCCTGACTGGAAAAGGGGAAACATAACCCCCATTTTTAAAAA